CCCGATGGCTGCTGTCTCGCTCCTGATGACTGTTGTCTCACTGTGTCTTGGGCTCTGTCTGATTGCTGTCTACATCTTCCTGTTGTATCCTGTCTTAAACTGGAAGCTGCCAGGGGCAAAGTTACCTTCTCTTTTCTTCAATGTTCCTACCGTACCTCGCACATGGTCCATTATCGTGGAAATAAACATACTGAAATCCCTATTTCTAATACTTCAGAAGAGCTTCTTCAACAATATTTTGGGTGGTAATGCTGTAAATAATTTTACATAGTTTCCTGCTTTGTTACATTGTGAAGATGCTTTGTTATCCTTGTTTCTTCTTGCAAGGTCTTAGGAGAAATGCTCCTGTTCTTTGGTGCATCCAAGTCTATAAGGTTCTTCCTGGAAGACCTTCTGGATACAAGCACCATCAAAATAATTGTACCAGCTGAGTCATATTAATTGTGCTTATTTTCTCTTAATCTAAACCAAATGCAACTGCTAGGTAATTCAGTTTGGCTTAACTCTCGTTTGTAGTTAATATGTCTCAGCTGACACATAGTAACTTGCTTATGTGTCTGAACTTTCTGTAGCTCCCTAATACAGCCTTTAAACGATTTGTGTGGATCTCACAAAGTGCAAGGAGAATGGAGATGATGTCAAATAATCAGATTTTCTCAGAAAGCAACAGTGTGATGATGTTTGTAGTAAGTAGGAAGCAGCACTTCACAAATTTGTTGTTGAACATCTCTTCAGTTAAGAGCGAAATAGGGAATTGGGAGGGAAGGGAGGTGGAATGAGGAAACAGAAATAACAATAATTATTATTTATTATGAATATGATGATATATTAGCAATTTAGTGCACTGGAGGGGTTCTTTTCAGGTGTGATTTTTGTCTTGCGTCTCTATCTGGAGTCTTGTGGGTTGCACCTAAGTGCATTACCAGTACATTTAAAGCACTTTTCCTCCTGCTTAGATGAAGATTGAAGCTGTACTCTGAAGTACCACATAGTACGTGCCATTGCAGGGGTAAGCAAGATCTTCCAGCAGTTTTCTGTCTTCTGGATGCGTTGTCTGTGCCTGGCATAAACTGCCTTTCCAGTAAAGATGTGTTGTGGAGGTACAATCCTAGAAACACAGTGAATCACAGCAACTTAACCCCAGTCTTGGGTTCCTGCAACCACAGAAGAGACGTCTTGGTCTTGTATTGGTTAATTGCTGAGTCTGTAGGGCTTTCTCCAGTTCTTCCACTTTGATGATTTCTGATGGGATATACTTTCATGTGGTGGTTGTGTTCTAGCCTGTTTATTTCCTGATGGATACCTTTGGACAGCTTTAGAGACAGCTACTCAGCATGCTTAACTATTTTGCTCCTATTTTTGGGCCATAGTATTGCTTTATGCTATATCACATGATATTATATTTGGGTCCTATATTGCTGCCTGCAGATGTGCAGGGACATTGGGTGCTCAGTTAAAGTTCATATCTTTTCTCCACTGCTGCTTTCCCTTCTTTCACTTTTAATGAAGTGACACAGTAGGAACATATTCGTTGCACATGCAACACATTATGAAATGTGCTGAAAACTCGACTGATGTCCAGTTTGAACAGCTGTTCAACCTTCTGACCTGACTTAGAGTTCTGTGGAGTTTCAGCCTTGGCTACCTTGAATTCAACATTTCAGCATTCTTTTATCCTAATATTTGTGGTCAGCTCACTTTCTTATGCTAAGAATTGGGGCTTAAACTCTGGAGTGGCAGACATTTAAAAAAATATAACAACAATGTACACAAACATTTTGAGAGCGAGTCCTCTGAAGTAGTTTGATTTTCTTGTCTGGAGTAGCTTGGATTTTTTTCTTCCTCATTGATCTCAAGAAACCACAGACTGATGGTCAAAAGTCATGAGAAGTGGGTTTCTTGTGCCAACCTTCTTATGAATTTGGGTGCATTTTATATTATTGCTCAATTGTAAGTAGGTTATAAAACTGAAATTTAAGGACTGTAATAGAATTTGAAAAATAAATACTTTAAAATCAGGACATAATTAACTTTAGACGTGCTGTTGTGGCTTGATTCCACTTTATTTTTGTCATCCTATAGGTTTCAACAAAAGGAAAGAGTAATGAAAAAGAAGAATTAATATTGTGAAAAAATACAACTTAAAAATTTTTATTTTTGTCTAAATAGTCATTTAGTTGTTAAACTGTTTATCTAATTTGTGGTTTTAGATAAAAACAATTACTTTTTTTTTTTACAGTAAAGAAAGCAAGACTTTTCCTTCAAAGCTTTACATTTTTTAACGAAGATTGTTCTATTTTCTGTTTTAAAATATCTGGGGAGAACAAATTTTATTTATTTTTTTTTTTAAATGAAGACGTTGTTTTCTCTGAGATTCTCTGTGGAAGAGAAGTACAAAGTAGAACTAATGATAGCTTGAAGATGAGAAATCTTCTGTGGTCATGATTATGGCGTTAACTTCTTAGCCTAATAAAACTCACATTAGTTGGTGGGATTTAAGATTGTCATATTGCCATGTTACAGTCTTTTAAGCATGAAGTTTATCTTGTTCACATTTAGACTTTCTTCAAGGTGTTTCTTATTACTGAAAAAATGAGGGTGGAATGGACGGTAGCAGCTATTGCCCTGAAAGATGAAGTGCTTACTGGTATTGAGTAGGATTTTTGCATTCAGATGTTCACTTCAGAGCTCTGTGTGCTCACTGAGGTGTTTCTGGTCATGCCCGCATGTCTAAAAAGCACCATCACCTGTCATGAGGTAGTAATTCAGTTGTGTTCTGCCAGTGATGTGCCTAGAGGAGTTGTATCCAAATTTTTTAATGATCTTTCAATCTTTCTAATCTTTTCCATGACTTTAACAAGACAGGAGTATTACAACCTTGTTGTGCTTGACAATGCTTGCAAAACAGGTGTGCTAATTTATAATATCTGGTCAGAAGGCATGAGAAGCTATCTAGCTGCCAACAGAAACAGGATACGTCGTGGCACTTACTTGAGTAAAGCCCGAGAGGCCAGCTAGGAAGACAAATACACCATTCCTTCCCATGTTTGAAAAAGTGCATGTTGAAAGTTGTGTCATCAAGTGAGCTGATTTAAAACTGAGACAATTTAAATTATGGTTGTTTCAAATCCTTATGTTAGCCTCAGACTCTTAACTGGTATAAATTATAACTCTGCTGCAATGGGAAATAGCAAGAGTGGGGTTGCTGTTCTTCAAGTGTTTACTTCTCATTAATTATTTGTACTACCATGGGGGGTTTTGTTGCCAAATTTTTTGGTGCCAAAATGGCACATGGCATGAGAGGGAAAACTGAAGCAGCAATTTAAAATAATTTATTTAAAGAGGATCATAAAAGTAAGAGTAACTATTGAGGCTGCAATTACTGTGAGCTATACATTGCTGTTAAATATTTGATAATACTAATTTTATTTTGTTTTTATTAATATTTTTTATCACTGTGAAGTCTGAAAGTTATTTTGTCTATTTGCTTTTCTTTAGTAAAACTTGAAAGATATTTGTATAAGAATTGGGTTAAAAAATGGAGGTACTCTATACTGGGATATACTCATCTAAATATAAAAGGACATAAACAGCTTGGGACTGGTTTAGAAGAAAAACAGAGGAGAGAGAATATCTCTCCTTAGAAGAAAAAGGAGACAGGCAGACACAGACTTCACTTTTTTATAAAGTGTTGGGAGAGCCATAACATGGCAGAATTTAAAGGAAAATCTTTGGTGAGATACAGCTTATGACATCAAAACCCCCCAGATCTTCTGAGAAAACCTGGAAATTGTTCCTGTGAAAGAACAAGTTCAGTTTTTAGTTTTATGTGAATAGTTTCACTATATTACCTTCTCCTTTAGAAAAGCGCTCACTGCTTTTCTTTCACATTTTACTACAGTGAGGGCAACCCCACAGAAAATGAGTGAGGAAAAGTGTTCATTTCTGTAAGATTCAAGATACAAGTGTCAGATGTAGTCAGATCTGCATTTGCAGGAGTAGCAAATAGTCACGTTTAATGATTTATTTCTGTGTACAGATGTTCTGGCAAAGGCTATAGTGTTTAAGAAGCAAGAATCATAGTAAATCCTGAATGCCTGGAGGTGATGATGGCTGCAGAGATGTATTGCAGCAATCTTTTGCAACCAGTAATAGTTTTTTTTCTGAGTTTTATTTCAGCTCTTAGGGCCAACCAGCTTGTTATGCTAACCACCTTGGACAAGACCTCCCTTTTCACACTGGTGGGAAGCTATCTTCTAGCAGTTATTTCTTACTATGCTCTTTTTGTGTTGTGAAGCAGGCTTTCTTCTTTTGCTCATTGCAAACATAAGTCTAAGTAAAGATGGCTGGTAGCAATTTGAACAGACAATGAGAATTAACGTGATTAAAAGAAAACCAATTCTACTGCTGAAATAATCTAGAAGCAGGGAAGGCGCTGATGATCAAACTGGATTCCCAGGGCAAAGTATTTCTAAGAGCACCTTCTCATCATATCTTTGAGCTTTTATCCTAGAGGTGATTTGTTTGCCTCTCAGCAGTCCATATCTGGTCTAACTCAGATGTACTGAGAACAGCACTGGGCTCCCAGTGGCCTGCCCAGCTTGCCAGCCTGCCTGTCCTGGACCTTGGAGAAACTCCACATTATACACTAGCATGTGGACCTGGGTGTTGAACTGAGGAATGGGTGCTGGTTAAATTTCTCTGGAGAAGCTCTGATGTGAGCAGTCCAGTTTTCTCCATTCTGTTGTTCCTGGGGAAATGCCTTTCACACACGGGGAAAAGAAGACCACATGCAAATCTCTGTGGCTGACCAGACTACATTGTAGTGTGGGAGCGGTTCCACCCTCCTCTGGTGCAACCTGCCAGGGCAGTTTGCCATCGCTATACCTCGCCCCACTGAGATTGCTCTATTGCAGAGGTGACATCTGAGTACAGTGCGTGTACTTTGTGCACTGTGAAGGGTGGAAGGAAGATAAACTCTTCGATGCTCCTGATCTTTTAATGAAGAATCAAACAGGACTCTCAAGACTTCTGTTTCTTGTTAATTTTGTGAACGTGGAGTGGCAGTCTTTGGTGGAAGAAGCAGCAAGTGTCCCAGCTACTTCTTTCTTCATCCTCACAATCATCAGCATAATGATCTTGCTTTACTTTTCAAAATCTGTTCTCTTGATATTTCTCTGGAAGTGTGAACGCTGGCCTTTTGTATAGTGCTGTTGATGTAAAGAACGTTGCCTGAGTGGAAGAAAGGAGAAGAGGATTCACATCTAACCTTCAGAGAGTGCAAATAGTAGCAATTTTTCGTGGCCTTTTGTTCTCAAATGCAGGAGCCAAATGTGTGCTCCTGTTATCCTGATGTATTACATTGCAGTTGTGGCAGTTGTAATGGGACTGAATTTCCTTGTTACATCTCTCGTCAGGGTGGCAGCTTGGGAAATATTGCTCAGGTAACTTTGTTTTTTTTGACATAGGAGAAAACTCCTTCCACAGTGCTCTGGAGAGCAACTGTAAACGTAGGAAGGACTTGTCGGTTCCTGCTCTAGCCTTGGCTTTGCTGCCTTAAATCAAATTATCACTGTCCATGGGATGCCTCTGGCAATGTGTGGGTGGGGGCTGAGCCCCTCCGGGCAGCCTGGCAGCACTGTGGGGCTGCAGGGAGGCCATTCTCTGCCTGGGGGACTCCTGCTTCCAAGGTGGGTTTTCATCCCAATGGCCACTGGAGGGGAAATACTAAAACTTCTCCAAAAGGAAAATGCCACTGTGCTGTGCTGGGCAAATGGCCCCTAAAGTCAGTTTGTTCTTGAAATGGTGTGGAGCAGAGCTGGAAGCCGGGGTGTGCCAGGCAGCCTCCCCATGTCAGCTCTATCTGGCAGAAATTTTTTTTATTAGTCTTATTTTAGGAAATGTGGTTAATTTTGATGACAATACCTTTTCTTTTTCTTTTTTTCCTCTGAACTCATCCAGCAAATTCACAAAATGTTTTGCAGTGGCTTATTGCTGTGATTAATTTTTTCAATTTTTACTTTCCCTTGGATGCATAAAACCTTCTGCACTGCCTTGACAGCAAATGTTTGTCAGAACTGCCTTCCAGTGAGGATGTCTCAGGTTCCTGTCACTGCGATGATCCACGTTTATGGTTATTGCAGCAGTTTTGTGCCTTTGTGCTGAGGGGAAACATCCTCCTCGTTCTCTCTTTAGGTGCTGGGTGTTGCAGTGTTCCCTCAACACTGTGTTTGCTGAAAGGCTGATCTAAAAAAATAGAGGAGGGAATGATGCTCCCTTCCCCCTCATCTGTATCTTTTTGCAAGGGACTTACTTCAAGAGAAACCCCTTAGATTGTTGTCTCAGGAAGGGCTACAGGCTTTCGGGCTTTTTTTCCTGCCTCCTCTCTGTGTTTCATCTTCTGGACTAGCAAAGAACTGTGCATCTTTGGAAGAGAGCAGAACACCAGGGAAGTGCTTCTTTAGACCTGGAGCGTTTCCTTACCCTTAACAGCACTAACTCTTCATCCATTTCTGCAGCCAGCTTAACTTTGCCTGCTTTTATTGCCTGCCACAGCAAAAGAGCCAGCTAGGAGGCAGCAGTAATTGAAGTATTGCACTTAATGTTTCTGCAAACTCTTTCTTGGCCTTCAAACATAACAGCATTAGGAATCAGATCAATGCTATAAGGAATCTGCATGCAAACTCACATTTGGGGCAGACACACTTCACTAAGCATGCCATTTTGATTTCTTGTTTTTGTCTGTGAGGCCCCAGACGCAGCTGGAGCATCTCTCTTCTGTTGAACCTCTTCTTTCTTTCCAGCCCCTCTCCTCCCAAAGGCGGTGAGCGTGGGCTCCTGCAACTGCTTGCTCAGAGCTGTCAACGCCTGTAACCTGCTGCTCTTGGGCTTCCTGGCTGGACTGACAGGACCTGGCCGTGATCCAAGCAGGGCGATGTCTCCAGTCCCTTTCTGTCTCCAGGATGGGAGCAATGAACCTTGTTCCAGTTTTTCCTGGCCCTCTCACAAATGGAGTCAGAAGTTGTCTTTTTTAATTGCTTGCAGGTGAGGGGATTGAATAATTTCAAATGCAATTGAAAATAAGTTTATAACCAAGGGTATTATAATGTGACAAATGCTGTTTCCTGCTGCTAGGCCTGTGATAAGAACACTTTTGGCTTTTCAAAGGGTAATTTTTATTTAACAAGCTTAAATTTATCCATCGTGGCCAAAGCTGAAGGTATATGCTGACAATTATGAGTTATGATTATACTTCAATGGACTGGTTGTTTCCAATGCTAATGGTGAATCTGTAGTTTCATCTGCAGTTGGAAACACAGTCACGGGGACCAAGGTGGGTGGGACACGACTTAACCAGGGTGGGATGGTCCATGAACTTTCATGAAAAGTGCCTTTATATCTGTTTGTCATTGCCCCGTGGCAAAGCACCAGCTTAATATCCAACTTTCCTGGTGACCCAGTAAATGAGAGAAAATCTGCAGATCAAGAAACTCCTTGTACAAGTAAGATAGTCAATGTAGATAGCTGATTAACCAGTTAAGTAACTGTCTAGATCTGATTAATTATTAGTTAATGGTAAGGTTCTGGCAGATTAAATGGATCTCTAGTAACCCAAAGGACAATTATGAGCTTACAATCACTGTGATTATTTTTCCCCTGCATTGTTCCAAGAACCCCAGTTAGAGGTAATGTAATAATTTAGGACTATTATGTAAGGCTGTCCCCTTGCCACAGGACAGTGCTTCAAGCGCTGCTATAATTTGAGGCAATGCTATTCCTAATGCCTGGTAAGTGAGGTATGTGATTAAGTAATCATTGATTTTTTGGGGGGAAATTTTTGTAGCACTGTCACTAGTTTCATATTGCCTGTCAATTCATTGCTCGTTGAAGTGCAGGTTGTTGCAGGCAGCCAAATAAACAGAAAGCAAGCAGAGAGGTTAAAGTTGGTGACCAGTGTGAGAAATGTAAACAGAAGGAAGGCAAAAAGCTTATTTTCCAGGTTGTCTTACACCCTGACTTTGTGCTTGGTAAAGTAGAATTTTATTTTTTTTTAATTTTTTTTCCAGTTGTCTGTGTCAGTGCCATCTGAACAGGAACTGAGCAACGCACATTTTGGGTGCTTCTGCAACACAAATAGTTTGAGTCATGTTACATATCTCAAATATTTTGCTCAGAAGCAGGAAGGCATATGCCCACTCTGGATGTCATCTGAGGGATGCCTGGAAGGCATGTCTGGCAGGCTTATACCAATATCATTGCAGATCAGCATCCTCACTGTAGCTTGTAACTGGTAGGAGCATCAGGCCTTGTGGATTTTGACTTCCACAAGAGGAATATTACTAATGAATTAAGATTGCTTTCTGCAATTAGAATCATTGGAACCTCAGAGGTTTTTTCCCCTTTTCCCCACACTTAACATTGCCTTTGATCTTTAACAGAGACATTTCTATTTATTTCAGAAGAGATGATGCAGTCAAATGGAAACGATTGCAAGATACTTCTGATAAGTCACTTGCTGTGTTTCCACATTTGTTGCATCAGCTATTGCTTATGTGCCTACTTGTTTGTTACTCTTCTTGAAAGAGCCGGAGTGATGTGGGGCTAATAAAGCTATGCAAACTGATATTTATAGTTTAGTTGTTGAATCGAAATAAAAAAACCTCAAAAACTTGAATTAGAAATCTTTTAGCTGAAACCACTTTTGACATATTTTATTCAATTCAGACTGAAATTAAATGAGTTGTTTCAGGCACCCCTAAGAAAAGCCAAAGAAATATAGGTATGGTTTACAAACTGATAATGTAAATCCATCCCCTTTGCTTTTAACCAGTATATCATTATGTTTTATCCTCCAGGAAGTGAGAGTTTCAAGTTTGTTTTCTCCTTTAAAAAGCCATTTGAAGTGGGAGAGGTTTCACTGTGCCTTGTTTTATTTCTCTCTTTGGTTTGTTCCACTTTGCCATTTCAGTGGATTGAACATCCATCGCAGCAGACTGCAATGGTGGTGCACATTTTCCACGTGGGTACCTTAATCTGTAGGCTGGAGGGTTTCCCTCTCCAGATCTTACCTCATTGCAAATGGAGAGGCTTAGGAAGAGGGCTGGAGTCCCACATCCTCACCTTGGTGCTTAGGACACACATTTGGGGGTGAGACCCCTCTTCAAATTCCATGTCCACCGAAATGAGGACAAGGATACACACATGACTGTCTCTAGTCTGTAATACAGTGCCCTGACTGGTATGAAATGAGGTGGTTTGGGCCAAGTCTTCTCCTGCCGCAGCTGTTCCAGTTAGGAATCGGGACACCCTCCTGGTGGTATGAACCCAAGTGTTTCCTACTAACCTCTCGCTGGCTTGCCAAGCTCCTGAGCTCAAGTGTAGTTTTTGTGAGATGAGAAGCTCTTCTGCCAGCAAAACCACCAGCCCTGGGCATGCTCCTGGTCTGCCATGATGTGACCATCTACCATCACACAGAGGGCACGCGAGGGGCACAGCTCAGCCAGGGATGCTAACTGCAGTATCTGGGATGGGAAAACTGGAGGGTGGAGGGGTTATAGATCCCAGTGACAGCCCCTGCAGATTCATGCTGGACCATCCAGTAAGGTGGGTATAGACTAGCTCTACTTGAGTGGCCATATTTATCCAGCTGCTTCTCTTAATTTGCCTGTCTGTTTAGAAAGGATAGATGGTTTTCCCAAAATGCACCTTCAGAAAATTGAAAGAAAACATTTATTTTACTGTAGTACAGTGATAAACAGGTTATGCCCTTCTGAAATGTTGGTTTTGCAACAGTTGAGTACACTTGAGCGGACATAAAAATCCTAATGCTATTTCACAGTGTAACTAATCTTAATCAGGTTGGGTTTACTTAGGAGAAATAAACTCAGGTTATGTGGATGAGAGTTATTTTTGCAGTGAATATGTGATTTTTTTTTTTTTAATATACCTTTCTTTACACAGGGAATAATAAATTATACTCTTAACTAGAATGAAACAGAAGTCAGTGCTGCTTTTGAATGTTGGACGCTGGCTCAAAAATTGCTTATCCAGTGTCTGGAAACTAAACAAAAGTTTGAGTTCAAGTCACTGAGAAGGTTCTGCTGAAATCCATTTCAACTCCTTTGGCACAAAGCATACAGGCGGAAACATTTCCTTGCCAGTTAACTAAGACTTCTCTTGCTCCTGGTACCATGGCTGATTCAAATCTGTACAGTTTGTATAATTACACCCCACCCTCCCCAAACCCAAAGCACACATGAAATGAAGAAATGACAGGCAAAAGGCCACATGTCACAATAATTATTGTAATTTGGTCTGTTATTCCCTTGCTTTCTGGCTCAGTATTTGAGGCTCGATGTTAATTTGCTTGTATAACTAAAGGTGTTTCCTCTGCTTGTTTATACTAACTATAATTTCTAAACATCCTTAAAATTATTTGCTACAACATCTCTCCTCATCATGATATTACTTCAATTTGAGCCGCTTATAGAAAGTGTTTCTTTCTATTTTTGAAGAGAAACAGTTGGGAGCCAGAAAAATATGTATTTGTTTGCCTTTCTATTTTTGGTTTGAAATTGCTGGAAGCCAGTAGGTGGGTTTTTATTTTCTGTTTTAAGAATTTATTTTCAAACTAAAATAAATATTATGTATAAGGATTGGCACATATCTTAAATTACTGGTTTTAGTAACAGGAAAAAGTTCTTGTTAGAAATTCTTCTGAAGTGTGGCTCTATTTCTGGAAATCCTTTCTTGCTCACTTCAACAATCTTGTATCCTCTCCCATTTCACTGAATGATTCTTTCATACGCAGAGGGGTGAGCTTTATAGGAACTTTGCTGGCACTAAAAAGTTGGTATGTTTTCTTTTATCTTGTACACTGCATTGAATCCTTCATCATCCAACCAAAGGAAAATCATGTAGGGAGTTGGCTATTTGTTGTGTATACCAAATGAAATCACCTGAACTGTGACCTAAATGGATAACTGCTAACTTTGTGTATCTTTGGAAAATAAACCCTAGCACCTGCTGTTGGACTGCACAGATTTTGCTCTCTGAAAGGAAAAACTGCAATTCATTATAGAATGGGTGGTCCAGTATGAAATCCCATCCTGCTTGGGAGAGTGGGCAGATTAGTGAACTAGAATTCCCAGAAAACACTGGGAGTAGCTCAGCCGAACTTAAATCAAAATCTTATAGATTTCTTTCGAACTAACAACCAAAACAAACAAAAACCGCTGCCCCCCCCAGTTTTACTTATTTATTCTCTTTTCATTTGCTAGCCCTGCCCCCCCCAACTCTAAACCAACCAACCAAAAAGCAACCCCCCCCCAACCACATCCATAAGTTTTATTCTGTTTATTTCATAGAAAAGCTTGGATAGCTTTGAAATAGTGTTCCTTAGCACTGGATGATTTATAAGTCAGTAAAATCAGGTTGCTTAACACAGCATTATTTTTGGAAAAGGTCTTTTTTTGAGGGGGTGGCTGGAGTGGGAAGGGTAAAGTTGGCAGGTCAAAGTGTATAAAACATATTTTTTTTTTTTTTTTTTACTCTACTATCAAGACCTGTTATATGAAAACATAATACAGAACTTAAGTAAACAAAACTTTCTCTTTTTACAGCCTTCCCACTAAGCTTTGAAACCATTCATGGAAGCTGACAGCAATGCTTTCGTAAGTATAACTGATGTTATGCCAGAGTTACTCGTCAGCTGAAGAGGTCGTATGTTGGGGTTGTGCCCTTGTAATCACAGAAGACTGTGGACAACATCAATATCTAAACAAAATGCTGCTTATGGGCCAGCTGAGTGGCGAGGTTGCCATAGGTTGCCCCAGTTCTGCTCCAAGGGTGAAATGAAGTCTATTATATGGGCCTGATGCCACTTCCAAGTCCTATGCCTCAAAGAATGAGAAAGCAGTAACTTAGGACACATGAGCTTAGCAAAGGATTTTCTTAGCCACCCATCTGTCTAACTCTTGATAAGCTTAAGGAAAAATACCTCTCTGTAGAAGATGAACTATTGATCATAGCTGTCTTTGGTGTTTTCTAAGGCTCTTGCATTGTGAGTTGAACTTCATGAGGCATGAAGTCTGATCTTCAGTATTAGCCCAATGCCCCTGCTTTTGCTTGTAGAACAATCTTTTTCTTTCCCTTGAAATAGGCTCACACACCTCTTTCGCCACAATTTTTTTCTCCTGGGGAGTTTGCAGGCTGCATGCCCCTCAGTCTCAAGGCAGAAGGATCCCCTGGGGCGATCCCCAACTGCCCTGGCAGCTCCCCAAGGGGATGCTGCCCACCTGAGTTTGTTCCTAGCAATGACTGCTCAAGGCCATGCATTTGGAAGGGAAGCTGGAAACATGTAGCCTCCATAATATATATTTGCAAATCCTTGCTGTCAGGCAAAGACAAGGTAAGGGGAGACACAAGGGTGTAGGCCTGAGGAAGCTCTAGCAGCTTCTAATGAGCATGATCAGCTGCCCTTGACCCAGGGTGCCTGGAGCATTTGATGCAGCTCCCTCTGGTTAGGGAAGGTCAAGCACCCTTTAACTGATGCTTGGAAGGGACCTAAGAGCCAGGCCCAGAGCACAGCCCACAGACGCAGCAGTTTGTGCAGCAGGGTGTGAAGGAGGAGTGAAGTAAGGGGGCTTTGGCTGAAATAGTGCTGCTGTAACAGTCTTAGGCATGGTGGTAACAGAGCAGTTTCCCCAGTAGATGTGGGAGCAGCTGTCCCTGCTAGGGCAGAGCCTTCGGCACAGGCTGAGCTTCAGATGGCGGATGCAGCCATCCAAGTCCCCGTTGCAGGAAGGTCCTGGGACCTCTCCCAGAGGCCAGGAGAGATGGCCCTCTGCGCTGCAGGAGGTGTGCCCTCTTGGAGGACCTGTGCTGCCAACTGGAGGAGATATGGGAGGAAGTAAGCAGGCTGCGCAGCATCAGGGAAGATGAAAGGGACATAGATAGGGTCTTCTCTGAGACACAACAGCTTGAAAAGCCTCAGTCCCCACCTGCAATGGAGAGGCAGGCACTGCTTACCCCCACTATCAAAGTGAGCAAAACCTCTGGAGAAGAGGAAGGATGGATGACTTCTAGTACCAAGAGGAAGGCTCCTGCCCAACCTAAGAACTTGCAGCTGCAAAATAGGTTGACTGTCCTCAAAACTGAAAAGGAGCCAGATGTGCCTGCTAGCAAAGGACCCAGTTCACCTAGCTGTAAACCATGTAAAGCTACCAGGAAGAAATGGTGAATCATTGCAATGGGTGAGTCCCTGCTCTGGGGGGACAGAGGCACCCATCTGTAGACCCAACCAACCATCTGCAGAGGTTTGCTGCCTAGCAGGGGCCAGTATCTAGGATGTTGTGGAGGGACTGCCAAAGCTTGTCCGGCCTTCTGACTTCTATCTCCTACTGTTACTCCACGTGAGCACAAATAATACTGCCAGGGGAAACCAGTATATGCTGGGGGCTGCCGAGCTGGAAAGCAGCTTTGAGGAAAAGGACCTGGGAGTCTTGGTGGATATCAAGTTGAACATGAGCCAGCAGCATGCCCTTGCTGCAAAGAAGGCAAATGGTATCCTTGGCTGCATTAGACAAAATATGGCCAGCAGGTCAAGGAAGGGGATCCTTCCCCTTTATTCAGTGCTGGTGAAGCCACACCTGGAGCATTGTGTCCAGTTCTGGGCTGCCCAGTACAAGAGAGACATGAACATACTGGAGAGAATCCAATGAAGGGCCACAAGGATGATTAAGGGACTGGAGCATCTAATATATGAGGAATGGCTGAGTGAGCTGGGACTGTTTTGCTTGGAGAACAGGCTCGCAGGGATCTTACTAATGCATGTAAATACCTGAAGGGAGGATGCAAAGATGATGGAGCCATGCTCTTTTCAGTGGTGCCCAGTGACAGGACCAGAGGCAATGGGCACAAACTGAAACACAGGACGAACACTCTGAACACTCAGAAACACTCTGAACATCAGGAAACACTTTTTTATTGTGAGGGTGACCAAGCACTGGCACAGGCTGCCCAGAGAGGCTGTGAAGTCTCCATCGTTGGAGATATTCAAGAGCTGTCTGGACATGGTGCTAGAAAACCAGCTGTAGGTGTCCTTCCTTGAGTTTGGGGGTTGAACTGGATGACTTCCAGAAGTCCCTTCCAAGCTCAACCATACTGTGATTCTCTGGAAAAATAGGATCTCTAAACTGACAGAGGTCTCTTGCTGAAGTTGTCACTTCTCTTGTACGTTTTTGCTCATTGGTGGAGCATGCCTGGCACAGAAGCGGCTGTGAACAGTGCTCAGTTGTACGGCTCCCTTTGCAAGTGGCTCCTGGGTTTATTTGCCACATGGAGGAGTAATGCATAGCAAGCTTGAAGCCTGCATTGTCCTGCAGGATCCCTATCCCATCCTGTTCAGACCTCAGGTCTCAGTAAACCGATGAGTAAACCAAAACCTACCCTGTGTTCTCAGCCTTGCACAAAAATGACAACCCTCCTAAAGTTGCAAATAACTGTAACATTTTGCATTTATTTCAGAGTTTACTGAGGATTATTGCTCTCAGATTTTCCCTGATAACAACAAGAGCTAGAAATAGATCTGATTTTTTTTGGTTTGTTTTTCAGTTGAACCTGTGGTAATGAAATAAATCATTCGCCATCAGGAAATAGAGCTTTATAGAGAAACATCCACCATTGTCAGAAACATAGTAAAATCATGACCATTCCAGACTGTTCTAGTGACCATGTCTGATAGTTACAGTACATTCCCACCTGAAACTGCTGTTACACCCCTGGTCAGTACCATTGGTTTTACTGGTAGTAACTCTGCCTTCTGCAGTTTTCGCTTCGTTCTGCACTGGTGTTAATGTCTCCTATTAGGAGTGAAACTTAATCAATTTTCACCCAGGCTCACTGAAATGAGATTGTTGACTCTCATAAGCCAGTTTTCAAAAGAGGAAACTTTAATTTATTTCTTGAGGAAAGGTTTGCCACTGGAGACTTGCGAATATGTTGTAATCTTGTGGAAAACTGAATCCAAATCCTGCTCGTGAGGCATTTTATGAATTTTTGTGGTAGATTCATTTAAATACAGGTTTTCTATTGGTTTTAGACTAAAACAGTTTTACTGAAAACTGTTTGTTTATTTCATAAAGTATCTGTCTGACTCCAAATACTGGTGCTTTGGAGAAAGAGGTTGCTTTTGTGTATTCATATATCAACAAAATTTGGGAAGACAATTTTGTGAATAACTCTAGATTTCATTGCTGCCGTCTGGGATTAGAGGTTTCTCCTGCACAGAGCAAACCAGATATTTTTTATAAGATGATGCTGGGCTTCTAAACAGCACTAAAAACATTTAAAAGTTGATGAATTCCAAGTTTAGGATTAATTTGTTAAAAATTTACTTCAGCTTTCAGGAATACTGGGAAAGAAAACCAGAAATGCATCTTAATTCATAAAATCTCACTCAGCAATGATTTTGTTACAGATTAATCACTGATTTTTTTTCCAGGCAAACTAAACGTAGTGCTGACTGGAGAAACAGTCCTTCCTTTCCCCATTAATTTCCAAACTCCTCTCACAAAATATGAAGAGATGGGGCTTTATCACCCCTGTCAACTTGCAGCAGGATACCATCATTGCTGCTGAATAATAAATGTACATTTGTAAATTCTTTTTGCTACCCCGAGCTCTTACTAGGTAATCAGTTTTTTCCTAAGTCTGTATATAAAGTGGGCTCTAATGGATGATTTACGTAATATGGATATTAACCCTTTCTTGACAGAAAAGCCATAGACCATGTTATTTTGCTTTAGATCTTCAGTAAGGTTAGTGGAAAGATCTACTCTTCCTCTGTTGTTTACAGAGAGCCACATCCTGTCTCAGTATTGCTTGTCTTGTTGTAGAACTTTATGTTGGTTAAAGATGAAATGACCCCACTGTAGTATCATGGCAAAGATGTGATGTTGCCCCACGACATAGTTTTTGTGCAAGGAGAGCTGATTGATACTTGTTTTTCTTAATACCACTTTGGGTAGCTCTAAAGGAAAGTAATTAGTGTGACTGAGTGACCCATTGATACACTGAGGCCATATATTATTTCCACATGTCCTAAATAGGGCATTACTTTCCTTGGAATGAAGACACGAAGGGTGGCCTGTATAGGATGGGGAAATAGTGGAGCCTCCAATAGAGCCAATGTGTTTTCTCATTGCTTTTCTTTGTCTGTTGTCATGGAGAATAGTCTGAGAGAGAGGCAGGCAGTGGTGGAATTAGAAAAAAAAAAAAGGGAAAAAAGAAAAAAAAGAATATGTGATGATTAAGCAGGAGTCTGGGATTATTCATTCCTGGTAAAGCCTCCCACAAGCGTATTGTTCAGGTCATCTCAAATCAGCACCAGATAAGCACACGACTGTGATATGCAGTTCTGCACTCTGATACATGCTGCAAAGATCACTGGTTAGAGAAAGTTCTAGCTCTCGTAAATAGTGGTGGCAGTGGTCTCTTCTCTTGCTGTTTCCAGATGGTGTAGCTTTACTCACCTTTAATTCGCCTGTGAGAAGAGCCATCAAATCCTTCAAGAATAATATGAAATGGGATTTTGTTTTCCTGAAAAGCCAGCTGGCTAGGCAGAGGGGCTGCATTAGGGATGTTCATAGCGTAGCTCTGCAGTGGATCAGGTAGCTACCAGCTTTGCATAGCAACGTTGTGGCTGAGCACATTAAATCATACGTCACCTTATCCAGCATTTGTCATCCAGAGGCTTCAAAACCTTCCTAAAAATAGAAAAAAGTGAATGCTTTTGTTCCCATGTTAGAGATGGAAAAGTTGAGGCAAAGAGAAGGCAAGTGCTTTGTCCACAATCGTACAACTAACCAGCCTGTGTGGGGAGAATTTATTTACTCCAAAAGCCAGACCTTACATTTCTAATGACCTCTTTTTTGGTCCTTGGCCTTCTGTTTTAGTTTCATTTTCTATGCGTTTATGTGGGATAAAATATATAGACTGCAAGTGAGTAAGTATAATTCAATTGTGTTATTTCTGCAGTGACTAAAACTCTCATATATGGCATGGCAAACTTCTGGCATATTTAGGTTTTACCATTTGAATAATCTGCCAGGTTTGTGTGATTTTTTTTTTTTTTTAATTTTATTTTTTTTTTTAAGAAATATTATGAAACTCTTACCCAGAGGGGGATACGTTCTCTGCACTAAATAAAGAGGAGTGGAAAATCCAATTTTTTTCTTTTTCAGGATTTCTTAGAATAAGCTAAAGGACTCTCAGACACCTGGCATGTATTTTTAATCTCCCCACGTTTGTAAATATCCTTCATGGAATGTAAAGAAGCATTAAAATATTGGAGTTCTAACTTCTATTTTTTTAACTTCTGAACACAGAATACAATTCAGGCAAACACGTAGCAAAGTAGAAGCTGCCTGTGGGTGTGAAACAGGAAGCACTAGTAGATAGACACATTAATAGAGTTAGGTTTGCTCTTGCTCAACTAGATATACATCAATTTTAATTAACACATTTTATGCTTCAGTTACTAATGTCCCTTCAGCAGTGAGTGGGTTATGTTTCCATCCTGCATATACCACCAGCATCACCACCACGTCCTTCTCTAGCTTCCCCCTCCCCTTTCTACACAAATGTTGCAACACAATCTGAAATTTCCTCTTTTCTTTCCTTCCTGCATTTCTTACAGGTTCCTTTGCGTCAGAAGACAAAAAAGAAAAGTCAAGGTAATGAGAGATTCTTTTTTCTTTTCTCTTCTGGGTTCCTCTTTTGTTATTTTCTTAGTATGTCTTATTCTTGGGAGGCTGAGGATTTTATACTGCTACTCAGCTGGAGGAAGGCTGCTTTTTAACTCCACTGATTCTTGCACCGATTCTGAGAAAAATGACAACGGGCTGCTCCTTTGGACTAAATCCTTGTGGTATGTTAATTGAATCAAAGCTGGAAATCAGCAAGGTAGAATCAGCTGCCTGCACATACACAAACACCAGCGGTTTTCAAGTACTTGGCGTAATAGTTTTCTCTAGCTGACTTAAATAGATGTATTCTTTTCAGTGCAGCTGTGTGAAGGGAAATATATGCATGCCTCTCTTAAAAGGATCAAAGGATATGTTTTTAATTTACAAAAACATATGTATGGTTATCTTAGCATTAATTAGTGTCTGCATTACCTATAGCTTACTGTTTTGTTTCTGCATATCAGAATGCCTTTCAAATGAATGTGTGTTACTATCACAGCCGTTATAAAACTGACCGACTTCTAAGTATATTTTAAGATATGCTTGGGTGACTTGCTGAGATTGCTAAGTAAGGTTGATGTCTTTTAATTGGCAGCAACATCTTTTCTGGTAATGCACTTTTAAACAAGCAGAATGCTGTATTTTTAATGGCACAGGGTTCTTTATAATGAGTCGACGGAGGATATCGTGTAAAGAGCTGGGGCAAGCCGATTGCCAAGGATGGCTCTACAAAAAGAAGGAAAAAGGAGCTTTCATTGGCAACAAATGGAAAAAGTTCTGGTGTGTGCTGAAGGAGTCATCGCTGTATTGGTACAGCAGTCAGCTGGTGAGTACAGCGTCTATGCAGCTCTGGGTGTCAGGCAAACAGTATCAGCTGGGACTGAGAGAAGGGGAGCTGGGGGCACAATTTAAATGTGCCCTGGAGACATACAAGTGACTGGGTTTGTTTCCCAGCCCTAATGTTTCTTGTAATCTGGGAAGTGCCTATGTGAATGGGAAACATGCAGAAAACTATGTATTTTCTAGTTCAGTAACTACTTGTGAAATGTTAACTTGCTGTCTGTTCTGCCCTTTAAAGAGCTGCTCTTCACAGATGCTGGTGGCATTTGAATTTGGGAAAGGTTTTCCTGGGTTGGGCGGTTTGCAGACACTTGCTATCAAGACCAAAACCAGGAATGCTTCTTCACTTCCAATTAGTTTAATTTTCTGAAGTCTCTCTCCTGCTTCCCTCTCCATCCCCTTCCACACTGAGATTAATCTGTTTATTTGTTTGCTTTTTTGTTTGCCCCCCCCCCCCAGTTTGCACTAGTAGGTTTGCAGGTGTGAGCACTGTGAGTTGGTGATGTTTTTACTCCTGGTCTTGCTGATGTCTCATCCAGAGCATTGTAATTAAAGGTTCTCACGTTCTGCTGATTTTTAACTTCCTGCTCTGATGAGTTGGTGCTAACAGACAAATCTGCAGAAGAACACAGTGTTTTGGATTCAAGGTCCAGCTTTCTGTTCTGAGGATGCGCTTTCCTCAGGACAACCAGTACAGATAGTGTTTCTCTTGCAGCCGATCCAGCCCAAACAGCGTGAGTGGGAAATAGTCTGAGACAAACAACAGCAGGCCCTGAATTCCTGTCATCAACTGAAGAACTAGGCATTAAAAACTGAAAAAGTGGGGTGGGGGGAGAAGACACAGTGAGAAACCCAGAGTAACCCTTTTAATGAAAGGTTACGGCTGCGTGTAAAGAAGCAGTGAGTCCTAGGGAACAGCTAGCTTTACTCCAGGCCGTTTGCTACAGCTCAGCTTGATTGGGCAGAGAGGGTGTCTTGCCTGTCCTAGGAACATTCGGACATAATTATTCCCTTCACTTTGCTCTCGCACTGCTGCCTCTAAGAAAGCTGCTATCACATTCAAGTGATGGACTGACAGAACCCGGAATTGGGGCGTGCAGAGTATTAGGGGATGCTAGCAACAATATAGGCTGAAACTCAAGCAGCTTCAGTGTGCAATTGTGGCCCGGCATCAGGTTTCCTAAATCGCATGGGCTGCTCTGGAAATCAGCATGTCCCAGGCCCAGACAAGAATGAAAGAGTAAAGAAACCCTTATTAACTTTTGGTAATTCTTATAACATTCTAAGAAATTAAATGCAATCTGGATTGTTTGCACTTGTTTATTTCTATTGTAGTAATCCCCATTAAAAGTCTTGCTAACTGTTTCAAGGTACAAATAAAATAGTTTAAACCATTAAAAAAAAAAATCCCCAAACCCTAAACTTTACTTATGGAAAGAGTATTTCACATTCTCCCTTCAGTTGTGAGTACAGTGCTCAGGTTTTTTTTAACAGAATAAAAACTTTGACTGACCTTTAAAGATGGTATTAGCTATTCTTTTTGGGCGGAAAAGTGACAACTCTGCGGGTCTTGGGCTGTTGTTTTTTGTGGTGTTGTAGTAGTCTGAGTTAGCTTCCTTTCAAGACAGTCAAATTACATGCATGAGAGAAAGAGAAAAGAGAAAGAAAAGAAATAGGAAAAGTAGAAGAAAAGAAAAAGAAGCTTTGTTCTCCCAATGCTTACAATATCTCTGCTGGAAAGGTATGGCCTGGCAATATACTCATCAGCATCATATACTCATACACTGCAAACCCTTATTAGTATTGGCTGTTCTAAATCACTGCTTGCAGTTGTACTTCTGGCCATAGTGTTAAGAAAGGTGAGCTGGCTGGCTGATGTGCCTTTTAGACAGGGGAAGTGTCAGAAAGGAATTAGTCTGAGGAGTAATCAAGCTGGAAGGAAAGAAAACAAGGCAAGACTAGGCAAAGTTTGCCTTCCAGGTGGTGGGGAGAGGTGCAAAGTCCTCTGTTTTCTTTAGTTTTTGTGGCCTGGCTAAATTGCACTCTCGGGATCCAGAGAAGCCATGGTCATTCTGATCCCAGTGCTCCTAGACAGCATTCGTCCTTTGGGTGAACTCACCCTTTTAGTCCATGCCTGCTTTCTGGCTGTCACTGACTGCCCCAGAATGAACAAGGCTGAAGAACGGGTGGCAGTCTTATTCCAATTTATTTCATATACTCTAAAGAGCTCATAAGGCTTCAAAATACTGTTGGCTTATGTCAGCCCTGACTTCTCACCTATCGCAGTTCCTCTTGTAAACATGCTAGCTGGTAGCACCTTTTTGCTTTCAACTTGTGCTGACACTTGCACACTGTTTTACGTTAAAACCCGAGGTTTCTTTGGGCAACTTAAAGTGCAGCCTCTGCATAACTGTAGATTCAGGCAATGTTTGCAGAGTGGCAGTAACTATTGGGCATGGGAAGGAGAGGAGGTGTCCTTTGCTAAGATCTGCTTACTTAAATTGATGAGACCAGAGCCATGCTCAGAGTCATATCTGGGATGAATAAGACCCCTTGTATTTTCACAGATATTTTCACCTCTAGATTGATGAAGCAGAAGTAGCAGTGACATTCACTTGCTTGCTTGATATTTCTTTTTACTAACTGGCCTGGCTTTAATACTGCCTGCTCTTCCACTGCCTTCAGTGGAGTTAATCCTTGGTCCCAATGGGGCATCCATGATGACAATCTTAAGTTCATAGTTGTGTTGAAACAGGAGGATTCCTATTCCTCATGTGCCTGAGGCTTCACATGAAGGGCCCTCTTATAGGGACTGAAGTGAAAGCTGGTGGTGGAGGAGCAGGGCTGGTGTTGAAGGAACTGGGATACACTGGCTGCCTGTAGCTCTGCCTGACCAGTTTTGTTCTTGTGAGAAACGAGTGTGTTTTTTTCCCGACTGTGTGGAAGCCTCAGTCAACCAGACACTGGCAACTGTAGCATAGCAACAGGGTGCTGGACCTTTTTTTCTAGTGGAGATGGAGAAAATAGGGAGTGGGTGGAATTTGTACAGGAACGTGCTTTGCCCTGGGTTTGGGTAGGTAGCCTCAGCTCACATCATGTTCTTGGTGAAGTCTGTCTTCAGGCCCCTCCGAAGCTCTGGATGTTTCTGTCGGTCTGATTTAATTTGACTTCAAGCCACTCTGGTTCTGGGTCTTTCACATGAGGCAGATTGGGGGAGGCGGTATAGGACACTTGTGGTGACATTTGCAGATGGTACTTCTTTCAATTTAACATAAATTCATTGTGAAAGCCATAGCCTAAAAGAGAAAAGAATAATAAAATGCTGAGGAGGGTCAGTAATAGCAGATCAGACACCCCAAGAGTCAAGCTTTTCTTTCGCTGAAAGCAAACCAGAGCACACAGCCAAATCCAAATTAGCTTTTGACCGGCTAGCTGAGGTACTGCGAGTGGTGAAGTTAAGGCCCCGGTGGTCTCGGCAGGATTGAGTAGAGTGCCCTGAAACCTCTCCCTGCATATGCTTGCTCTTTCTATAAAACATGGATACGACACGAGACAGGTAAACTTTTGTTTGCAGCATGGATGTGCCCTCAGTCTGGGGAGGGGAAGCTGTTTGGACTAGGAAGAAACACGCAAGGGTTGGTTTTGCAATGGAAACACAGAAAATGTCAGAAAATAGTTCTGAGCAGTCAGACTTTCTGGGTGCATTCAGGAACACAAGGCTCCCTGGAGAACTGCTCTTCATTAACATTTGGTTCCCTCTTTCAAGTACCGCTCTCTGTAGGCAGCTGCCTTGAAGACAAGTGTTTAAAGAGGACAGCGTGCGATCCTGCCTTCCCCTTTAGCAGTTCTAGTTCTCATACCGAAACCCTGGAGGGAATCGGCACTCCTGCATAGGAAGAGGGGTGGCAGGGGAAGATTGTCATGTGTAATCCCAGGCTTCTGGCTTTTTGCGCTTGTTGTGACTCTGTTGGATAGTGTTGGCTGGAAAGGGACAGAGGACTAAACACCTCTGTCTTGTGGGCCTTTAGGATAGCTTGGCTGGTTTTCCAAGCAGAGTTGAAATACAGTTTTGCAGGATGTGTCAACGATGGTTGTCATGGGGATTCAGCTGAAAAGAAATATAAATATAAAATCAAAGAGTTGCAGGCTGTGATCTACTGTCACTATTTATCTTTGGTTTTTTTCCCCATTCGCTGCATTTAAATTGGTCCTCACTCCAACAGCTTTGCCAGGAGCTGTATAATTACAGTCTTTAAAAACAGAAACCTTTCACCTTTGAGTTATAGGAGCTGCTTATGTGAATGATAAAAAGTCATTGATGTCGGCTGATTGTGCTGAGGGCTTTGGGGACCTCTGGTCCAATATCTTACACAAATTATTCACAGTTCTATAGGTTGCCTCACTGGTGTACTTGGCAGAGAGAAAAAAGGCTAAAAAGGCTTGAGGACTGAACTGCTCCTCCAACATCCACAGGGTCTTCTGGGGGCAGCACTGAAACACTCTGAAGCCATGAGGAGTACCCTGAATTGCAGATTGGAGCTCTTCCACAATAACTAGATATTTTCACTTTACAGCACTATTTTTTAAAATCTTTCTGCACCATCACATTCACTTCAAATATTGAAAAAGGTCTGTTAAATGGTTTACTAAATCTCCTAAAGCCACAACATTTAGACAATGTATTGAGGCAAGCTAAAAAGGACATTAGCCTCTTTCATTGGATTTGTGCATTATGTTTCATAAATATGTTTGAAATTTTTTTTGAGTGAAAAGCTTTTTCTGTGAAAAAGTGGTTACTTTCTTTTTCCCTCAAGCATTTGCAGAGACTGTTGTTATTATTGAAATTATTTTCCTACAAGTGGGTATAGCAAAAAAGTGCAGATTTATACGTTAGGCTATCCTGCATGAAAACCACAAGAGATGATAACAGCTTATTCTTTTAAACATCCTGATTAATTAGGAAACAGGTCAAGGTTCTTTTAATCTGAATTTTTTAGGTCTATTTTACAGCATTGCAATAAAATCTGAAGGAAGTTTGAGTGAAATGTGTGAGTTAAATAATAGCATGCTTAAAGTCATGTTAAAGATAACGTTTCAGAGAAAAGAAAACATTTAGGACTTCTATACGCTTTTAATGTTTTAAAATACCATTTTTATTCCAAGAATGACCAAAAAGATGACTTCCACATGTTCTGTTCCTAGTGTTTATTTGGAATTCTATTTGCTGACTGTAATAATGCTCATAAGGTTTTACTGTTATTATTTGGTTTCCTTTTTTTTTCCTTCCTTTTTTCTGATAATTATGGAACTACAGACCCATTAACCCCCTGTTTTCCATTATATAGATGACACATCCGAAATGTGTACCAGTAGCACATTTAAAAAAAAAAAAATTTGCACAATTATCTTCCTGCCTCATACATAAAATGAAACATTAAACTTTTCTTATAAATGAACAAATGTGAAATCACTGACAGAATTAATATAAAACCTGAATGCATTGAACATAAACTTTTATCAACTGGAACATGTCAAATACTGCATAAGAAGTCTGGAGATTTCTCTGTTGTAAAACTGGTAAATGTAAATTGCTGAAATCAAAGCCTACAGACCTATTTTTGTTAGCGATTTAGAGAGTACTCCTCTAATATAGATACTCATCGGATATGTCAGTGGTTCAAGTCCAAGTTCCGTCTCCACATGGGTGGGAGCACCCCAGGTGAGTGTCCCCACACTGACTTACAGGGTCCTGATAATTCACTAGTCCAATACAAAATCCAGATGCTCAAATATTTGTATACATTGACAGTAGAGACAGTGACTTATCTAATGGCATTTTGTGGACTTAGTCTCTTCATGAGTGCTTGTGCAGCACCTGAAGCAATTTATAGGATGCATCCTAGACCAATGGCTACTGCACCAGTAGATAAAACTGGCTGAGCTGTGATTGCGTTTGTAACATGTACAGCCAACTGGCCCCAGACCCTAGTCATCCACTCACCCACCTGATGGCTTACCTAGCTTAAGCCATGGATTAACTGGTGTGTGGGTGAGAAGGTACCTGGGTATACTCCTTCACATGGAGTCTTCTGGATCTCTTTTTTTTTTAAACTGGGTTTACTGATTCATACTGTAGAGAAACAACTGGCTTTGTATACATTTCTCATCCAGCAATGTGTGTAGTAATGGCTTTGATACCTCATGAACAGCTTTTTTGAAGTTGGTTTCTGGTGGTCTTAGACTGGTCTTGGGAACCAAACAGGAATTTCTGTGTTCTCGCTGCACCTGGTCTAGTAAATGACCACTCTTTTTGGTACAGAAATGCAGGATGGTACGTTCTCTATCTTTAGTACAATGAAGCCCATGAACAGAGCTCCTCCTTTACTCACCCCTACTCGTTCACTCATCCCTGTATACTTGATGTGCTATGGATCTGGGACAGAATTACTAGTTTAAGGTCTAATTAATTGAAATACACATTTTAAAAAAAAAAACTTAAAAAAAAATTTGCCACTTTTTTTTTCTTTAGTTAATTTTATTTTATCTCAATGAGTTTAGTCTCACTAAATTCCAACCTGTGAAATGGAAACAAAAGCTCCACAAGCCAGGCTCTAAACAAGTTTGATAGATACAAATATAATCAGAGAAAGTTAAAACCCACAATAGCCAATAAGTACTTTTTGGTACAAATGAAGCCACATTGCAAAATCAAAGTTTTTTCAGCCCAGATACTGATAAACATAATTGTTTCTTCTGTACTGAAAGAGAACAACAAAACCCCCCCTTCCACTGCTGCAATTTTTTTTTTTTTTTTTTTTTCCCTGGAGCAAGTAAAACCATTTACTGGTGAAGATGCAAAATATAAAGCTGTCATATGAATATTTAATACATGTAAACTGCAGGAATGATGGTTATGCCATGATTTATTGTATACCAAAGAACAGATATGCATAGGTGCAGGGAAGCCACCCACTGAAATATCCATTCTGTATCCATATTTCAGTTCTTGGAGATTTGTTCTTCTAGGCATTAAAGCTCAAAGACTTGTCTCGATGAACATCTTTTTATAGTCTCTTCATATTCTTGCATAACGTGACTTGAGATACTGTCAGTCATCTTCATTTATCCTGTCTTTGTAATTGCTGTGTATATTTTACCTGCTTTAACTCAGTGTACATTTTCAGAATTTTAATGTGCCCAGGGATAAGGGCTGGGAGCAGCAAAAAAGCAGTTCTGGAATGAATGCTTTCTGTATTTTGGAAAGTACCTTTTTTTCCTGACATTATGTGCTGCAGACTTTTGTCTACATCATTGCTCCTCTTAGGAGGAGTCCTAGTCTTACTGCGGCTGGTCGTGTGAGCGTAGATAGATTTAGTAAAGGAAGATGTTCTTGCCATTTGCAGCTGAAACAGGGATTTGAGGCTACCTGGTAAATTCAGTTTTGCTGGAGCCACTCTGACACAGAGTCCAGCTGACCTGGAACCGAGATGCCAATGCTCAGTAAAGCCTCTCTTGTCTGGAAAGGGGTGACTGCATATAAACAGTGTACTGTCAATGTCTGCCTAGCTTTTGCTACCTCCTGTACAATGCCTGTAGATTTCTGGGGGGAGTGATAGCTGGGTGGCCAAAGCCATCTGAGGCTGGTTTGCAGTGCTCAGCAGTGGAGCTCAGCCGCGTGGGACCATCCCCTTGCACTGTTTCACCTCCTGGCATGGGAGCAGCCTGTATTGCCTCTGCCTTGCACACGTACAGGCGTATATAGATGACCCTACGAAACAGTCCATGTTACAGTTACCTGGGCGAGAAACTCCTCCATCTCTACCTAGGATCATTTTGGGTCAATTTTGAATTCCCATCACTATAGACATGTATTTTTCAAATATACATAGACCATTATATGTGGTGCTGTCACCCATCTGTGTAACATGCATGCATGCTGCATTATGGAACAAACGCTCCTTTGAGATTGTATGTAACATCCAGATAGGAACAGATGATATAACCCTTATTCGTCCTCTCTTATGTCATCTGCCTCTTTTGAGAGGCTTCTGTTCTTAGAGCTGAGGTTCAGTAGTTTCATTTTCTGTGGTTTATGCACAAAGTATGGCTGGTGTCTTTGTCGAAAGAAGTTGCGTGATCACTGATACCTGCAAAGGAACTGGGTTCCTCCACCTTCCCACTGCTTTTAGTCCTGGTTTGATCAAAACCTAAATTTTGCCCTGGACAATTTGAGACTCTGGACTAGACTTATGACTTATTCATGAATCTTAGATAAGGGTGCTCTGATACAACCACTTCTAGGTGAGGAGGAAAGAGAATCTACCTCAGCACTTGTAGCAGTTGAGGATCCTTTCTCTTTCAGGCACTTTGATATTTGGAAGCGTACAACAAACACGATGCTCACACTGCCACTTGCACAGGCAAGAGTGGTGGCTTTCTAGCATCCAGGACTTGCACAAATAGTAGCTGGTATAGGAATATTTCTTGTTCCCAAATATCAGCCAAAACATCAAGTGTTAATCTGTCCCCATGGTGATAAGCATATATTTTCACAGCATAAAAAGCTGTCAAAACCAAGCACTTGCATGTTAAATATTGTTGAGCATTGGAGTCTGCTAACTTACCAATTGGTTGATGTGGTGATATTTAATATTTTTTTTTATTGCAGGCTGAAAAGGCAGAAGGATTTATCAGACTTCCAGACTTCAGTGTGGACCGAGCAATTGAATGCAAAAAAAAGCAGTAAGTTTATCTCTTGCCCCGTTTTGCATGATTTTTACAACATTGCAAGGAATTGAATCTCCGTAGAGTCTGACAACGAAGCTGTGGGGAGCTCTTCTGTGTTGTATAAATAATGAGATATTAATTGAGCTACTGAAAGAAAACCATATTGCAAAAATATTTTTGAAAATTCTCTGCCAGATGTGCTCTGCTAAAACTACAAATAAAAAAGCAGATTAGTATGCCAAATGTTTTTTTTTTTTTTTTCCTCCTTTCTCTTTGTTCACTGATCATGAGTAAGTTGTAGTCTATCTCAGATACCTTCTCTTAGGTAGGGAGGTCAACAATGGTTCAAGTAATGCTTCTTCCCTCAAAGTTGGGACTACTCTTTAGGCTGCTGTGGTGCATCTGAGCTTGGGCTGTACTTGAAGCATCTGGTTGTGCAGGGAATAAAAACTTTGTTTAGCAGGATACACCTTTCAAAATATTCTCTCCAAACTCGATGTGCAGCATTGTCTTCCAGCTGCTTCTGAACACACTTCAAAGGTTTGGATGGGTGTTGCTGCTATTCAAAGTTATAAAGCTCAGCATGGTTTTTATTCTGTCCCTCAAGAGAAAGCCTTCGTTCTTCTGTTTGGGTCTCACACTGAGATTAGCTGTAGGTGTTCTTGTGATTAATTGTGGGCTTGACTCCTCCAAAGAAAGGAGACAGCTATTTTGAATATGGGGAGCTCAATTTTGTTTTCTCAGAGGAAAGGTTGAGTCACATAGTACAGGACCATGAGAAAATGTTGCCTTTCACTTCTTCAGCTGTTGGCTGTCAGTGACTAGGAGGGAAACATGCTCATCACTTATTTAGGATCAGGTGCGTTAAGAGAAATGTGAGGAGCGACCAGCGCTGCTGGCGCCCAGTCAAACAGCGTGTGCTTCCATAGGACAGTCACCTAATGAAGAACAAGAGGGGAGCCACACAGTCTTAGGACCAGAGACTATGTTTTAGGAAAAAAAGACTCTGAAAAATCTTACTGGTGGATATTCAACTAAAGCATAGTTTGGGGCTGAGACCAACAGGTTAACTACTGGAGGTAGTTAGGGGACTACCTCCATATTTTTTTTTGTTTTAAACCTGCCACCTAGTTGCCTCTTTGGTGCTTCCTAAAACTTGTCTTGGAAAAGACAGTGAAAAGGCAGTTCCTATTCACCTGCTGCATGCCGTTGTGATTTTATTGTATCACACATCCCTTCTCTCAACCATCAGTTTTCTACGCTGTGGGATCTTAGCCTGATTAAGCACCCATGGAAGCTGTTTCATACCTTGTGTCACCCCTGGTGTTTTCTCCGAACCTTTTTCAGGTTTACTTTGCTTTTCAGAGCTGGGAGAAACAAAACTGCACACAGTATTCAAGATGTGGGCACGCAACAGAATTATGTAATGGAATAGTGAAAGTCTCTCTTTTATTTTTTATTCCTTCCTTTTTAGTTCCTGTGGTTTATATCTTCTGAATAATGTGTGGCCTAGGAAATGAGCTAAAAATAGACTAGAGTTCTAAGGATGGATACGCTGATCCAGATTAATATAGTGGAGTGAATAAATATTTAAAATAATTAATTCAGGTATTATTTTTTCTTTCTTATGTAAACTAGTTTTCTTCATATCTCTCCTATTTTTCTTTTCTTAAAGTGCTATTAAGATCAGCCACCCACAGATCAAGACATTTTATTTTGCGGCAGAAAATGTTCTGGAAATGAACACGTAAGTAGGAGCGACTGGCCATGTGTCGTGGTTTAACCCCAGCCAGCAACTAAGCACCACGCAGCCGCTCACTCGCCCCCCCCACCCAGTGCGATGGGGGAGAAATCAGGAAAAAGAAGTGGGTTGAGATAAAAATGGTTTAATAGAACAGAAAAGAAGAAACTAATAATGATAACACTAATAAAATGACAATAGTAATAATAAAAGGATTGGAATATACAAGTGACACACAACGCAATTGCTCACCACCTGCCAATTGATGCCCCGTTAGTCCCTGAGCAGCGATCCCCCGCCCCCACTCCCCCCAGTTCCTATACTAGATGTGACGTCCCATGGTATGGAATACCCCTTTGGCCAGTTTGGGTCAGGTGCCCTGGCTGTGTCCTGTTCCAGCTTCTTGTGCCCCTCCAGCTTTCTCGCTGGCTGGGCATGAGAAGCTGAAAAATCCTTGACTTTAGACTAAACATTACTTAGCAACAACTGAAAACATCAGTGTTGTCAACATTCTTCTCATACTGAACTCAAAAACACAGCACCCTACCAGCTACTAGGAAGACAATTAACTCTATCCCAGCTGAAACCAGGACACCATGTTTCATCCTGTCTTACGCCTGAGAACATCCTTTGAAAGTTCATTCTCTCACTGTCAAGCGTTTGTTGACAAAGTTATTCGGGGTATTACTGAGTCTGTTCTGTTTCCTAGTCACTTTGTAGAAAGAAACTACTACTATTTGTTCACTAATGACAGTTGAAATCAGAATCGCATTATTAGCCTGATTTTGATATTAATCTTCCTGACATTTGCTGGTATAAATCCCTTTCCGTTAGAGGTTCAAAGATTTGATAGTGAGTTCATCACCTTGGGACAAGTGAGGGAAGAAAGGAAAGAGAGGGAAAAGCTTAATATAGTTTTGTCCCAGAAGTGATCTAGGACTAGAATTTAATAGCGTCTGCTTTCAGAGTAGCATATCAGTTAACAAGGAGGGTTAAAGGGATAGAAAAGGCTGTTTCTTTAATGTAAATAAGCAATTACTTCAGCACCAAAATATGTTGCAGTTAAATGGTCCTCATGACAGATCAGAAGTTTTCTTTCTACAAATGTCCATAAGAACAACAATTCATTCATGCAATTTTTAATGCAAGAAGTAAAAATGGATATGAATAGTGGCAGTTGAGAAACCCCTGAGCTATCAGAAATAGGTATTATTTGCTATTGGTCCAATTTTGGCTGATTTAGATACATCTAATATCTTCTTTGTCCGTTCAACTTCGGATTGCAGTCTGTTCACAATGCTATTGCATTACATGGCAAAATACTGGGTGCAAAGCGGTACAATTTAAATGGCAAGAGAGCTCCTATGACAGTCAGGTCAAGATTTTAATCATGGCTCTGCTGGTGATCTTTGTGAGATTCTTCACAGGGCATGGACTGTTCTCTCCCCCTAGAAACGGGAGACCTCATACATATTTACCACTATAGAAAAAGATAGAGGTTGAGAGAATGTGTGTGACCTTCTGAAAGGGCTATAGATACAGAAATGTATGATACTACAGTAGTGTATATATATATTCATAAATCTATACTGTATAGACACAGGCAAGTAAGTATAGATGGAAAGAATGTGTTGCCCTTTGCAACTTGGAGCAGAACAGGGCATACTGGTGGGGAGATAACCATCCGTTCCTGTATCTCTGCGTTTCCTTCCAGAGCTCCTCAGTGGAGTGAGAAGTTCGTGAGGCAGATGGGCTGAGGATGACTGAGAATGAGGGACTGCTGTACAGGAATGTTTCTGTAGAGAGAGTAATCCTGGTTGAGGGAAGAATGTGGGGGAAAGGAAAATTAGAGCTGATGGAGAATGTTAGTGAGTGCTAGCAGCCAGTTTGGACCCCAGCTGGAAATTCTCAGTGTCCTAATGACACTTTTGAAATGTTTAGTCTCATGTGAGTAAATGATTGAAATCTATGCAGGTGTCCCAGCTCTTATGCCCCCAGAATGATTTTCTTCAAACTCCACTTCTTGAGTAAATTTTATTTTGGCTTAAAGCTAGGTAGCCTAGCGTTAGAGCAGTTTGCGCTACACTGCACTAATACTAATTCCTCACTGTTGTAACTGATGATATTTTCCTTGGCAAAGTATAAAATACATGCATTTAATACATAAAGTACACGCATACTCACGCATATGTCAAAACAGACTGAAAGACATCTGCTCTCTTGGCTCCAGTCCTGCAAATACACATGCATGTGAGTGGTTCCACTGAACTCACCAGGGCATTCGCGTGTGTCAAGTTACTGGTGTGCATAAATGCTTGACAGATCATGACCTTTTGTAACAATTCATGCATATATATCTATTAAATCAACAGTGGATTTATTAATACAGTCATTTGCTTCATTAATTTAGCATGTATTTGCTATTGTCATGCACACATGAAAAGTAAATGTGTGCTGGCTAGCTGCGTGCATTTACCTGGCCAGTTGCATGCAGTTACTAGCAGTCTGTCTGACCTTGTGGTTAATGAAGTCCTGGATTTTTTTAGCAAACCTTTTCTTTTGTTAAGATTCTTTTATTTAAAAAATCATTCTCTTATGATTAGCTGTTAGAAGAAAGTCAATAATTCACTCTTACAGAAATGACACTTTGTTTTCTTGAATTATGTGGCTCTGTTGTTCAAACTGCAGTCTAAAAATCCAGTTACTTTGACACTGATCTTACTAGCAAATTTCCCATTGCTTCAGTAGAATCAAGATCAGACACAATGTTTTTTTCAGAGTTATGAATCTTAATTCCTGCCCTTCATGCATTCCCTATTTAGGTGTTGACTTTTAATCTGCAAGGCTTGAACTTTTTTAGTTGTTAGTTTCTTAAAGCCTGGATAGATCTGAATGACCTACAGGCAAACACAATATGCAAAAAGCATATCTAGGGATTGTTTCTAGCACTAGAAAAATGCAGCCACCTAGGAAAAGAAATGAACCCCCCCCCACCCCCCCCACCCCCACCAC